TGGTTCAATCCAAAGAAGTCATGAGTGCCCTTAATTCTCTTAATCTCCTCTTGAGTAAACTCAGGCAACCTGGAGAAATTTAAGGGAAACCAAACTTACTTATTATACTATAGAGCTACTTAGAAAATCACAGACAAACTTTTAAAGATTTAATAATAGGGTCTTGATGGATGCTCAATCATCCAGGTAAGGAAATCCCAAAAAGTTGATTCTGTTCATATGGAAGTAGTGTTGTCAGTGAAAAACGCTTGTGAACAGAATTAGCTTTTTGTCATTTAATAATAGCCTTCATAATACCGAGACTGTGGTAGACCAGCAGCTAGACTTCGGTCTCTTATTCTTGTCTTCATAATTTCACTGTAGTCACCATTAAATATGGGATGGGAAAACCAGCCAAGAGTGAACTGCACAAAGAGAAACATAATAGTCACTTGAAATTAACTGTTGTCAATTTTTCTTTTGTTAAATCTGAAAGGAATTGGCATACCTCCACCACACGTCTTGCAGCGTCATAGTCCTCCTGTCTATAAGGATTTCTGGGTTCGGACCAGTCAGAGCTGATTGTGATGGAGACTATGCCGTTCTGTTTGGCCCTGTACTTGTCATTGTAGAGATGCCAGGCCTCGGCGTGAGCTTTAATCAGGTTGTGACCAACAATGTAGGGAAGAGTGTCTGGTCCTGAGCTGATTCCTGGGGACAAACATGGACACATTTGCTGCCTATATGCTCTGTTTTTTTGTTGTTGTTGGGGTGGGGGGTTGTCACTATGGTTTAGAAATGTGAAGAACTGCTGTACAGATTACAGCTTATTTCAAAATAGTCAGATATTTACCTTGACCACATATCCATATCACGGACAAACAGTATCCAACAGTTGTTTATGTTTTTAAACCTATTTTGCACAGAGAGGCATTTTTTGGAAAATGTATTGATAGCAATGTTGAATATTCTTACACAATAAGACCAAAAAAAATAACTACACATAAAATAATTACACCATAAAGATGGTTTATTTTTCTACCTCCACACGTACACGGGTATTTCTGAAAACAGAGATTTTCTGTTTATGTTGATAAAAAAAATCTCCACCATGGTAGGAGTTTTTAAAAATATACTTTTTCAGTGACCCAAAATGCAGTTTACGTGTGGACGAAAGGCCCACATGCATAGAATAAGCTGTGTTTTCAAAAATACCAGTGTAGGTGTGGACGTGGCGTAAAAGAGGTAGTAGTTGATTTTATTGCTACCTGTAATTTATTAGTTTACATTTATTTGTTTAATTCTTCACAAACAGTTTGAGGTGTGAAATAAACCGCAATGGAATTTGAAAACAAAATATGTGTGTGTGTGGATGGAGCATGTGTTTGTGCCGGGAGGGGGCCTAGAAAAAAAAATTGGAAACCACTGGCTCAAACCATACCTGGGGCAAAGTCTCCAAAGCCATATCCATGGCGGGCTATAACGAGCGGCTCATTAAAGGTGATCCAAATTTTAACTTTGTCACCAAGACGGTCAAACATGAGGTCAGCATAGTCCCTGAAAAGCTTAACAAAGCTGTCATTCAAAAAGCCTCCATAAACCTCTATAGCTTGTGGTAGATCCCAGTGGTACAGAGTAACCTGAAAGGAAAGGAAAGGAAAGGAAAATTGGCTGTACTTGCTGACTTGATCTGCTTTCCATGTATATTTTCTGGCACAAAGATTTTCTGTTTGCCAGAAAGGAATTATTCATACCTGTGGCTCGATATTTGCAGCATGCAGTGCGTCCAAAAGTCTTTGGTAGTAGTTGATTCCAGCCTCGTTAATGTTATTGATAGTGCCATCAGGAAGGACTCTCGGCCAGGATAAGGAGAAACGATAATGGCTTACTTTCAGCTGCTTTAATATCGCAACATCCTCTTCTATTTTATTGTAACTGTCACAGGCTATGTCCCCATTGTCATCATTTAATATTTTGGAAGGACTGTGAGTGAACTTGTCCCAGATGCTTAGACCTTTTCCATCTGCCCTCCATCCTCCTTCAATCTGGACACAGTAAATGCAAAACAATAATTTAAAGAGATGAAAACAAGGGAAGCAAGACAGTTTTCAAATCATTCCTCAACTATTGCTTAACTGCGTAAAAGTAAAATTGCAGTAAAAGTATAAGTTACTTGGTAGGCCGATGAAGCAGTGCTCCACATGAAATCCTCACGGAAGTGACCATAAAGCATCTTCTCATCATCTGGAAAGGGGAA